GTTATTCACCCTTTTCTGGAAGGCTCAGAATAAAAATTGTCAGCAGGTGGGAACCTCTCCATCCTGTCCCAAGGACTTTTCCCCTGTATGACTCAAATGTATGTCCTTGGGCTTCCACACTGAGGCAGGTAAAAGCTCCTCCCTTAGTGATACCAGGGTATTTAGGAACGATTTGCATGTGGCTCTGTCTCTTCTCTGTCTGCCAAGGCTGAAGGATTTTAAACTAAGTAATGAGTGTGCTGTTGACAGGCCTTGGAGGTGAGGAAAGGTGGGTCAGAGCATGGAATTCAAACCCATAGATAGCCAGTCTTCAAAACCCCTCAGCACCCTGTGGTATCATGTTTTGATTGCTTAAAAATAACACAGTTCACCTGTTGCCTCATGCCAGGGAATAGTGTGGCTCGGGAAGGGGTAGTGGTTGGGTGGGTAAGAGGTTCATTTAAAGCAGGGCTGTTGCTGAGTGTCCAATAGCCTGAAACCGAATTAAAATTTGGGGCTTCGCTGTCTCTGAAAGGATGAGACTTCCTTCTTGTTCCCAGTTCCCAGTCCCGCTGCTTCCTTTGCATAGTATCTAGCAATTATAAGGTGAGTCAGATCAGTGCTGATCTGACTGAAAGACCAACTCATCAGAAATGAGCTGTGATCTCTAGAACGGGAAGAAGGGAGAGGACCGAGGAAGGGGTGGGACTGCCTCTTTTGGTGGCAGGGTACAATTAAATTATTTTCATGACTAGCTTAAGCAATCCCTAGCAGGCACTTCCCTTCCCCAGCCTTAGCAAGACTGACTTGTGGAGGGGCCATTCCCATTCAGGCTGTTCTCTTGGTGCAGCTGGGACCAGGATGGTCCGTCTTTCTGGGGCTGGGAATCCCGGAGCCGTAAATACCTGAGGCCTGGGAAGGTCCTCAGGGGATGCATCTCTTTATGCTTCTCCTGTTCTCTGTTCTTTTTGTTGCAATACTTTCAAGAATGCTACCTGACCAGGTTGGTGGTGGAGTGGACATAGTGAGCACCCAGTCACCTCCCAGCTCCAGAAATCCAGGCAGTAGAAAGTCCTCAAGTTGACAGTATGTTGGTCAGCTGCTGGTAAGATTTGTCACTGTAACCATCCTATCAGGTATCAGGATTTGGGGTGTTTGGATTTTGCATGAGCTGAAGATCTGATGGAGTGTTTTGGATGAACATGAGACCTTGTCAAAGTTATTCACTGATCTTACAGGTTTTACCTGTAATACCCATGTGCTGGGAGCCACTGGTCTGGCTCCAGGAATGCCACATTGCACGTCCTTTCTGTGTCCCCCTCTCCATGATGGGAGCCAGGCTGCTGCCTGCCTTTCTTCTCCCTGGGAACTTGTTGCAGCGGAAGCCTTTGCTGCAGTTGTTGATATCAGAGTTCAGCTGACCACAATTTCAATGGACCAAAGGGAAAAGGTCACCACTGGTCACCTGCTCTAGGCAGCACTTTTGGGAACAGCTGTGCTCCAGGGAGTGCATTGCAATGAAGTGTTGTGTGCTGAGCAAGTCAGTTTGGGATGGAAGGAAGCTGCTGTGTTAGTCCTACACCTTTGCTTGTGCTCTTCTACCAAGTTCCCTGGTCTTAAAATTGACGTGGCTGGTTTTGAAAGTACTTCCCTGCCAGTGCAAGGAGAAATGCCATGTGTGCAGTGGACTTTGGTTGAGGAATACAGTATATACTTGGGGTTATAGGACACTAAATACACCTTTGTAATTGGAGAGCTATTGATTTTTGTAACGACACTTGCTTGGAACATGCTTGGGAATTACAGTTAACAGCACTTCCAGTGAATGTGTTTAACTGACCAAGTATCGCCCTTTAGACTACTGGATTTTGTAGTTAAAGCTGGCTGGGAAGTTTAGTGTGTTAAGATGTCTTTTTTCCCCAGAAAAGCTACAGTGTCAGTGTAAGAGTTGGTTCTGTTTTAATGGAATGTTAACCTAAGGGTTTTACAGACAAGGTTGACATTTGTGCTACGTTTGTTTGAGCGTGTAAAATGTGGCATAGAGGTGCAATTGCTCTCCAGGAAATAGGTATATATTGCCTCATCTGTTAGTGCATGGCTTAAAATTTGGATGCAAATGTGAAATTAAATGAAAGGAGTGGAAAATGACAGTGTAACCAAATTACCTGTGTTATCAACACCAATGAAACAAACCTATTTAATAGTGATGTGGATGGTATTCTGGTCTGTAGTGTGAGCAACCATAGTTAATGGGCATTCTACAGGTACTGAGCCTATGTAGAATAATTTTTAATCACCTTTATGATGGCTACCAGGAAGGTATAGATTCACCTGGTCTATTCCTCCATTTTTCAAAACTGTAATTAAAAAAACCAATCTTCTGAAGGTGCAGTCATTGCAGGAGGTTGTGCTGAGACCGAGTTATGGACAGTGCTCCCCTTCCTTGTGCAACAGTTTCCCTGTGCTAGTTGATGAACAGTTGTTTTTTCTTTCCTTGGCAGTGGCTTGAAATAGCAGTTGTTTGAAGCAGGAGCTTGAAAACAAGACTACATAATTTAATTTTGTTATGAAAAGGCTTTCAGAGCACAGTTTGTGAATTTAGGGGTTCTTCTGTAAATGTTCCTGTCACTTGTCTGGAATGTTAAGTATTGCAGCGGTCACACATCGCTCGCAGCAGTTGCAGCTCTGAAGTTTTCTCCAAAGAAGGAGCAGAGAAATTTAGGTGTATAACAGCCAATTCTTTTCAAAGCTCTGGTCTCTCCTTCCTTCTGTTTAAAAGAGAAGTAGCAGTAGCAAATGTGGCTTGAAAACAGAGGATAGATAACGTAACTTCAGTGCAGAATTCCTATTTGTGTAATTCCACAACTCGTAATGGGAAACTGTACAGGCTCTTTTGAATTTTTAAGGCAGAAAGTAAAAGGAAGGTCTTTCCTCTCTAAATAACAACCTGCAGCCGTTGTTCCAGGAGTGCAGCCCCCGTGTGCTGCACCTAACCTGTGCTGCAATACAGTGGTGTGTATAGATGTGTGTGTATGTTTTGTAGCAGACGCTGCCCACGCTGGCACAGGGATCCATCCCACCTGGTGCTCTGGGTCTGGCTGCAGCTGTGGGCAGATGCCTTAGGAAAAAACCTTAAACCAAAGCCTTCCCTCCCACCCTGACTTCTTCCCCACTGTGCAATTAGTTTTGGCTCAGGGGGGTTTCTGAGCCCTTTGTGCTCAGCTATTTAGCATCCATTAGGGAATTTCTCTGCCTTGTTCGTGTCCAGTCTCTCCCTCCCTTCGCACTTCATGCAGCCACAGCATTTTTTTCAGTCTGCATTAAAAATACAGCTCACTTTTTTTTATTTTGAACCTGGCTCTAAGTTCATTTGTTGGTCCTTAGCTTTAGTATGGGAAGAGATGATTAACAGCCACTCCCAGTCTGCCTCCTCGATGCCATTGCAGATTTGATAAGGTTCTGTCATATTCCCTGGGAGATGTCCCATGGGAGCCATTATATACCTTTGGTCCAGCAAGGGGCAATAATCAGATCATTTTCAGATCTATAAGAAAACTTCTTTTTTTGAGGTCAAGAGACCAGAACTGCACGTACCAATTAAAGTGGGGGTAGATGGGCAAAAAATTGATTTGTGAGTGTGATATTTCTGTTTTATGGTTCATTGTCAGTTCATTTCTTTAATAATTCCTGTACTGATAGTTTAATGAAGCTGTGAATCAAAACACTGAAGTCTTGCTGAGCAATATTGAGAATGTTGAGAGCACGTTTATGTTTGAGCTGAGGTTGGTTTTCCCCAGCAGATAGATTGCTCTGTGTTTGCCTATATTTAGTTTTATTTGCTGTTTATATTGTCCAGTTAGTCTCATGAGGGTCTTCTGTGATTCCGTGCACTTTCCCATTTTCCTTGGTATCTTAAATTACCCACTACCATCAACACCCTTTCAAGTCCATAAAACTGATGTCTTGATCTTAAGCTCTAAAAGAAATGCATTGTTTGCTCTGGGCTTCTGGAATCCAGTGGTTAGTATGTTATGTTTTTGGAATTATTGAGCAAGAGATATCACAGTAGAGTGTTTGTGCAGCTTGCAGGCTGAAAGTTTTATAACTGTAGAGAACTCTGTCTCTTATAATGTAGCTTGTTTCATATCACAGATATTAAATTTTTGGTGGCCATTCTGTCTTGCCAGCAGAGACTCGGGGAAGTTCTGAATCTGTGTTTTACAGGGGGTTGAAGAGACTGTATTTTGTAATCTTTTCTTTACTTTTCTGCCTTTCGGGGCTGTACAAGTGACCTAAAAACGTCATTCCCTAATAATCTGGGCAAAGTTGTCAGCCTGAATATAACAAAACCAAAGAATTTGTACAAATAGAGAGTGAAAGTGTTAGATGTGAATATTTCTATTTTCCTCTGTAATTCGGGTATTCGATTTTTCAGAAGTGCTCAGTATCCTCAAATTTAAGGGATCACTTGTTTCTATTTTTCTGAGTCTCTTAGAAGATAATTCTAAAATTATTTATAATTTTCTTAATCATTCACGATTTTTGATAGGTAAAACTGCCTAATGCTTCTTGATATCTTGTATTTTCAACCAACAGCAAGAAATGCTTTTGGTGTTTAACCTTCTCTTGCCTTCCAGGGCATGGGAAACTATTTTTTGTACCCTTGTAATTGAGCCTTACTTTTGTGACAGCAGTATTAGCATAAACAAGTATATTAAATAATGGATGAGATTAAAATAATCACAGTAAGACATCATCCCCTCCCTGCCCTGCTCCAGTGCCCAGGGTTGTAAAGAGTAACGCTGAAAAAGCGTTGCATGTTGGCTGGGTGGATGTATCATATCAGTTTACAGTCACAAGCAGAGCTGTGCTATTGGGCAAAACACTTTCAAATTATTATTTATGCAGTTGTTTTTGCAGCTGGTATAAAGTGCAGGGCTGGTTTCACATCCTGCCCAGAGCAGGGAGAGCACCCTCCTGAGCGAGGTTCTCCTGGACTATGTGTGCTGTGGAAAGAGAGACGGCTGGGAAAGGATACAGGTTAGAGGGAGTAGTTACATTTTAGCTTAGGAATGCAGTCTTTCTATCTGATATTTGGGGGTTGTTTTGGCTTTTTTCCATTCTGATTAATTTTGTAATTGATGCTGTTGTGCTGGCATTAATCAAATGTTTCCCAGTAATGTCTTGTGGCTGTTGATAGATGAGTATTTTGTTTAGCAGTGTGATATGAGAGACCTCCAAAAATTACTCTTGACTGTCTCATGGAGTTACAGCTCTGACACTGAGACCTTCTGGTTAAGCTTCTTTTACTTCTTTTTCTTCTTGTACTTCTTTTACTTTGCTCTTTTTCTTCTGATTTTTTTTTTTTTAATTTTTGTTTTGTTTTGGATTTATTTTCCTTTTTTTTTGAGGTGAGAGGAAGTGTGTGTAAAGGGAAAGGAAGTCTTCAGTAATTCCTTCTTTCTCCCTAGGGCAAAACATAAACTACAGTTTTATATGCAGTATTTTCTTTTTAAAACAATAGTGAAATAATGTTTTAGTTCTCATTTGAATTGTTAGTGCTGCGTGTTATTCTTCAGAAAACTTCCTTTGGCTAGAGAGCATTTTATTTCTTGTTTTAGAATTTATTGTTAGGCAGAGACAAGATTATTGTTGATTCCTAATACTGGGTCTTCCTAAGGACAGTGATGTTGTTCTTCAGAAGCACAAAGGTAGTCTTTATCTGCCACACCTGCCTTTTGAGGAACTGGATGAAGTAGGGATTTTTCCACTTCCAGTCCAACAATATTGATGTTTTCTCTTTTCAGTGCTGAAACCCCATCCTCTTTTTTCCTTCTTGGAGAAGGCAGGAGGGCAGAAGTTGGCACACAGAGGTCATAAATTCACTTTAGGAGTCTTAGTGAACAGCTGCTTTTAAAACCTCTAATGCTAATTAATGTCTTGTCATTATTTTAAGTTGTGTGACCCATTTGTATATTTTTCTGAGTATTTTAAACTATAATTACACATCTTGTTTCAGTAGGAAAGTAGCTACTAAAGCTTATTTTCTCTGGAATTAAAACAGGAACAGTGGTAGCTAACCCTGCTTGTCCTCTATGTATCTTTGAAATTTCTAGAAAGGTGTTTCTGCCTTTGAGTTTCAGTAAATCAAACCCAATGTTTTTCAGTGTCAAATGTATGGATATTTTAAAGTAATGCTGTGATGAAACACGAGGATTATCCTTGGCTTACGTTACCGAGTTTCACTTGTTTACATCGCTGTGCTCTGCAGTGGCTGTTGAAGAGAACACTGTGGCATGTTTTCAGGAGCACTTCTGAAAAAGCATTTTCAAGAAATGAATGTTATGGATGAGAAACATCTGAGTTCCCACAGCCTTGTCACCGCTGACCCCTGTGATGCTTTGATAAGAGTAGAAATGGTTTGCACTGTAAAAGCCAACGTTAGCCCGCATTTCTTCTGGACTGGATGTCCCGTGGGTTCTGTTACTGTCTTACTGGCTGTAACCAGCAGATCCCAAATGTGTTTGCTGTGCGTGCAGAGATCATCTGTGCTGTGTCTGGCGTGTTTTAAGGAGTGTCAGGCTTGATGGACGTGCTCTGTAGGTTTGAGAAATGGGTATTGCGAGTGGCCATTGCTGGGTGTCCCTGTGCCAGCTGGAGCTACTGCTCTGTGCACATTGCCAGGCTCTGCCCAAATGTCTCTTGGTCATATCACTGCCAGTCCCCTGACCTTCCTTAGAGCACTGGTCTTCTCACTCTGAGAGCTGTCAAAAAGCTATTGGTCTGATTTACTGGATTTATTCAAAGTGTGTAGTTTTTCTTTGGGGTAATTTTTTCAATGCACTCAGCATTGCAACAAACTGCACTGCAAATGCATTTGAATATTTCTCAAGCATGCTGTGGGCAACTTTGTGTCTGCAGAACATTCAGAACATTCATTACCATTCGACAGTAATGAGGCCAGTTTTACTAAACTTTATCCTCTTTGGTCTTCTCAGTTTTAGTTTTCAATTGAATAAGATCAAAAGCACAACTAAGTGTTTGACTCGTAAACATGAAAAGGGCAAGAAATGTAAGTGTAGCAACTTAGTCCTACCTGTAAACGTGAACATCTGCTTCTGGAATCTAGTAGGCAGTTGTACCACTTAATATGATGTGTGTACAGCAAACATATTGCCTTCATGGGGCTTTTCTGGTTTGGGTTTTGGTTTTCTTAGGAGTGTCTCGTTTCAAATTATCTCTCAGTTATTTAATCTTCTGTGAAGGCATTCTGATTACTAGTAGCCATATGGCAGGACCGGTGCATTTTTGACATTCTGATGATGAAACTGCAACAGCAAATGGAGTTTTCTGTTCACACAGGCTTTCAGAGCTAGAGGGAAGCTGGAAGCTATAAACAAATATTTTCAGTGTCTTAAAATGAAGCTTCCTGTTGCTTCTGTTAACAGTACTTAGGGATCTGAGGAGGCAAAACTCCTGGAGTTTTCCCGACTTTTGTCAAAGTCAGAATTGAAATATACTTGTATGCAGCTGAGGTGATGGGGAGGGAGGAGTGTGTGCAAGGGTATGTGTTCATTTGGTGGGCTGAATTAGTACTTTGATCACTGTGGTGCTGTGTTGGATGTCTCATGCATGCAGTCATCAGTCTGCTTTTTGTGCCTTTGAAATGCTTCAGTTTTTAAGAGATGGAAACAACTAGATGTGTTTCATGTTTCTAATCAGCTGCAGGATGCTGGGCTCAGATAAACCTGATCACTTATTTCCACCTGGAATCCGTAAGACTGAAAGGAGAGGGGAAGTTTCATCCTCTTAATCTTCCATCCTATGTCTTCTGACTCAGGGGAGATGAAGCAAACAGCTGCCAGTTTACTGTCTTGCAAGAGGGAAGAAGATCCTGAAGTGTCTGGTCTTGCTGGTAGTCAGTGCTTCAAATTATGGCTGTTCTGCTAGTCTGCTCTTTCTTAGGTCGTCTTCCAGAATTAGCAGTAGTTGTGAAAACTGCAGTGTTTGGGTCTGCTGCAGCTACTCCTGGTTTGGGTAAGGTCAGCTTTGTTTTCTGGACTTTCCCCTGTGTGCTCCTGGGTGGAATGACAGTATTGACAGTTTCCTGCCGTTGGATAAAACATGAAAGGAAGGCAAAGCTGCAGGAGTGTCCTGCCTGCAGGCTGTGGAACCCAGTGGGGCTACTTCTGGTTTCTTCTCAGGGATAATGCTTGCAATCACATGACTCCTATTAAGTTTTGTAACATTCCTTGTGTTTATTAATGTGATTTTTCATAATAAATTGTTTCAGGGAATCTGAATTTTTCAACTTTTTTTGATTTTTATGGAAAACTTTTTTATATTTTTATAGCCTCTGAGGCTGCTGTTACTCTCTCAGTACTGTAGTTCCCGAGCTGGTGGTAATCTTTTCTAAGATCCAGTGTTGTTGGTAGTCAGGCCTGAATCCTCCCACGGTGTTTTCCTTCCTGCAGTCAGAAACACAGAACATTGCTCCCTAATAAGCCTCTTTCTCTGGCTAACGAGTGAACTCGGCAACATGGGTCACTTATAAAATATCCTTGGTTCAATGCCATCTGTGGAAGGAGAACTTAAAAAAAAAATAATTATCGTTTGGAGTGGAGCTGTAGGAAGTGCTTAGTCTTTGGTAAAAATTCCTTTTAAAAAAAGGCCAAACCCATTGGTCAGTCATGCATTCTGTTTGGCTCTAATTTGTAGTCTTTGCTGCTCTTCTGGACTTCTGGTCTTAAATAGAGCAAAAAAAAAAAGACATGGCTTTTCATCTGTATTTTGTATTTAAAATGTCTTTCTTTCTGCTTGTAGATTTGTTTGTAAATGCATCATAAACAGACAGCCCAGAATGAAGAAAGCAAGCAGGAGTGTTGGCTCAGTGCCCAAAGTGCCTGGAGTAAATAAAACTCAAACAACTGAAAAAGCCAAACCAGAAAACGGCTCCTCAGTGTCTGCAGTAACAAAACTCTCCAAAACTGGGACATCGGCATCTCTTTTGAAGGTAACAACCGGTAGAACGTTCTGATTATTTCTATTTTTTTGCAATAAAACTTTAAAAAGGGTAGAATTTCAAGGCACGTCTTTAGTGAGGTTTAGACTAGAGGCTTGTTACAGGGGTAGCTGAAGGGAATCTGGATAGTTACACAGCACTGGGCAGGGTGATAGGATCTTGTGTGTCATCCCTGCTGTATTTTGGACGTTGCAACATGAGATGTGCTGGAGAGCAATATTCTGTGCAGAACTTGGCTGTTCTGCAGAAGGGGCAGAGTGGAAATTGGGTTCTGATGGATGTTATTAATGGTGTCATGTTATGCTTGAATGGTGTGTCAGTGACTAATGGGATTTGATGAGAGTTATTTACTAATTCTGAAAAAAGAACTGAGGGGGTATCTAACATGAGAACCTTTTGGTATCAGTGATCCCTGTCAGGTCAGTGCAGCTGAATTCTTCTGGCTGTTTTGGCCTTTGCTTTGTGCGAAGGACTGCTTGAGCTGAATTTTCACAAGTTGGTTCTTGCTCCCAGAACAAGTTCAAAGGTAGAGGTTTTCTCATGTATTAGCAAACAGGGCAGTAGATGTAGGAGCATCTGGTTTTCAACAAACCAGAAGAATCAGACGTACTGGGGTGTGCTGGTGTGGAGCGTTCACCTGGGAGCAACCACATCTGGGCTGGCTGGATGATGTGAGCCTGCCTGGTCTGGCTCCTTTTCCTGGCATGGAGACATGGCTGGATCCAGCTCCTTTTCCTCTCTGCAGCCCAGTGTGCAGTGCTGTGCTGTGCTGCTGCTCTCCTGGGGCAAAAGAGCAGGACAGGGAACAGGGCTGGTGCCTGTGACTGGGACCTGACCCACCATCACTGACACACAGGAAAGCAGGGAGGCCATTTAAATAACTGGCAAATGAGGACCTAAAATTAAAGAAATGGTGTCTCTCTAGTAGCTCTGCAGGAGTGCTGAAGTCAGGAGATGTCTTCCCTTTCTCTTCTTCCTTTTCTTTTACAGAAGAATGGTTAATACCTTTGCTGATGAACTGGCAAGCCAGGTTTCAGCGGGGTTTTCTCCCAGTGCCCCTCCTTTCTTCCATCACTCCATCACATATCTTGCAGCTTTCTTAACTTTAAATAATCTTTTGATGCTTGTTGACACTACTTCCTTTATATTTTTGGAAACTTCTCACAGAATATGGAAACAAAAGTGCTTTGTAGTTTACTTATCAAGTTTCTTATGTCATACCTCTCAGGGAGATAAAGGAGGAGGATGATCTAACACTAAACATATTTGACCCAGTATGCTTTCTCAATTTTACTTATATTAGTAACACTTCTGGCTGTGTTTAGGCGTGGGATTAGAATTTGACAACTGTATGTTTGAGGCACAATGAAAATTTTTCTCTTAATTACTAAGACTTATCTCAGGTTTATGTTACAGCCAGGCTTACTCATACAGTTGGATGCCTTTTACTTGTTAAGCTGCTGTTGTGCCAACTGTGTGACTTCATACTAATGATGAATGTTATCTTTTTTGAGTGTTCCATACTCATATAACTGAGTTAGTTGTTTGTGGTGGTTTTTTCTTTAGTTTACTGGTACTGACAAATCATATTTATAATTACTGGCTTGAAAGAAATATCAATAAAAGTCATATTATTTTTCAAGTAATTTTTTGTATAGTTTTATATTTGATATTGTTGATGAAACATTTAGCACATTGTTTTCCTCATTGTGGTTGTAGGATGTTCTCTTAGAGTTGATGAACTGGTGTGTGTTCTGAATTTCACTTCGTATTCCTTGACCAAAAAACAAGCTGGCATTAAATAACTTTAATTGCAACAGCTTACTGATTTATTCAGTCCTTTGAGTTGGATATTGAATGAAAGGCCACCGTTAAGGACTAGAAATACTCACTTGTAGTACAGTAACAATCTTAATTCCATTAGTAACAATGTAGCAAAATTGAAAATGATTTTGTAATTATAGTATCCCCTTCATGATACAACCATGGTCGAGTGTTCAGCTTTGGGCGGGCTTCTTTCAGTGCACGTTGTTCCCGAGGTTTGTCCTTCTTTGTGGAGTTGTCAAAGTGTGTGGACAATGGAAGCACAGGAAGAAACTGGGAGACCCACCCTTGTGTAGGGCTGAGCCCGGACCAGGGGCTGTTGTCCGGCTGCTTCCGAGCGCCCTCGGTCGGTTCCTTCTCTGTAGCTTTTTGTCCCCACTTTGCCCAGGACTTGTGCAGATGTTCAGCACCCCCCCCCACGCGTTATTTCCATGGAATGTTAACTGCCAGCCGCTTCTAGTTTTTAATCCCTCAAAAAGTACTCTACAAATAACGTGTTCTTATTTTTAAGTTCATTATTTTTTGACTTCTTTGGCTAATGAGCTTGTGATCCTGCTCACACTCCCAACTGTAATTAGAAAGCAACTGTACTTCAGAAGAATTGCAAAATCCAGTGTCCCTGAAAAGCCAGGGCTTGGAGACCAGTATTTGAATATTAAAAATTAGAATGTGTTTTCAGTATTCATGTGTCTAGGCTTCTATTCTGTTTGCAAAATGCAGTGATTTAATTACAGATTGTTGTGGAGTTTGATGTTTGAAAAACTCAAATGCAGCAACAGCAATCATCAAAGAAAATCCTAGGTTGGAATAATTATATATATAAAGGGATTTGAATGAGATGCAGTAAATAGGATATACATGTTGAGAAACAAAGACAAAGTGAATTGTAGAGGTGATTATTCAAGTTTCGTTGCACTACAAGTTGGGAGGGGGAAAACAGAATATGAATTGTATAATTATAAAGTGGTTTTTATATAGAAAATCAAAATAGGTCTGGATGAGCATTTCTAATTATGATATTTTCTAATTTTTCATATTTTATTGTAGGAGTTTTAATGCTAAACAGGATGACACAGTTTTCAGTAAATGGAAAGAAGCTGTTTAATAAACATACAGCATTAATTTTGCTTCAACTGAAAAGATAGACTAGAAAAATGCTTTGATTTTAAAAGTCAAGAACAGTTGCTATTGTGGAGCATTAAGAAGAGAGCTGCTGGTTTGTAATTTTTCCAAAGCTCTGCTAAATAGTTTTCTTTGCCAAGAGTATAGTGTTACAGCTTTGAGAAAGTGTTTACTAATTGGCTGCAGAGGAGGCAGTGCCTTCCAACCTAGACCAGAAATAGTTTATGGGTAAGTCAGAAAAAGAATGGCTGTCTTAAATTCCTTTGTTCAGCAAGGACTGGAGATGACTAATGTCTGAAAGTGTGTATTTTACGTAGTTTTTTTCTTTTCCTTCAAGCTGAGTCACATCTTGACCTATTTGGCTTGATAACACGTACTTGTACTATAAGTGTCTAAAAGCTTAATCTAATTTCCCCACCCTTTCAACAGGGTAGAAATGCTGACAGTTAATAGTCCGTTTGAACTATCACGTTGGCATAGTCAGCAGCAAACAGAAAATCACTGTTCTGTGCCTTTCTGTGATACCTTGGTTTAGGTGACAGTTGCAGCACAAGGTTGTTTCCCTCCCCCTCTGCCCCATGCCCACAGAATTAGCTTAGATTTAAAATCTGATTGGGCCACAGGCTGACGGGGATTGTTGTACACGAGGAGTTTGTGCTCAGCCCACCCTCCCCACAGGAACGGGGTGGGCTTGGTGGGTTTTGTAGCCCTCCAACATTTTTATTTCCTGTTGGTACTTCCATTGCCTCTGCTGTTTGCATGGCTGTGACATGGCAGATGGAGGAGCTGATCTGGCTCCTGGGAGGAAGGAGCCCTTTGAAAAGCCTTGTTTGCTCAGCACAACATGTGAGCACATGGAGAGCAGCAGGATAGAACAACAGTGGCTTTTTCATAGCAGAAAACAAGCTTAAATGCACATCATATCCTCAGAGTAATGTGTTTTCTTCCAGCCTTTTATAAACCTTTTTAGAAGGTTATACCATTTCAAGATTCAGTAAAAACATTCAGTAAAAAAATCCTAGAAGATTTTTACCCTGACAAATATGTTTCTATCTGTAAATCTTCTGTGTTTTTGTCAACTGCATGCAGAGCAAATATGTTCTCTTCCTGAGCTCCCTTTTGTTTTGCAGCTGCTCTTCTTTGTCAATGGCACAGATCCCATCCATGCCCTTTCCACAATGTTGTGATGAGTGTTCCTAAATGTTCTGAAATTTGCACTTGCAAAAAGAGACTAGAACAGAGTGACATGCAACTTCTTTTTTTAATTAAGCAAATGTACCTTCATTCTTAATGTATAGAATTGTAATGTCTGGCATATAGTTTTTAGCATGAATATCTGTGGGAGTTGGAAGTTTATAAACCTGCAGAATTTGAAAGTCATGATGTAAAGCAACTGGTTAATTCCTAAGCACTAACTTTTAGCTGGGATGGTGGATGAGAGTTCAGATATGCTATGCAGCTGCATAATACAGTTACTCAAGGAATGCTACTAACACAGCTGTTTTCTTTTAATTTTCTTGCCCATATAACAGGAAAAATGTTGAGCATATTTTGATTGTTTCACCATGTGAAAAACTGCATTTTAAAGAGTGTAACGGCTGCCAATTAATGCTCAAGAGTTTAGTATTTTTAGAGTTGCTTCATTGTGAAAGATGTATTCTCTGTTTGGGAGTCTGGTTGTTGAGAATCCTGTGCTTACTGCTCTGTCACATTCCAGGCAGCTTCTGTGGCTCACAGTAGTTTCAGTAATGATCCTGTGAGGTGAGACAAAAAGTCCATTAAACAAATATCCCATCTCTGAGAGTGTCTAGTAAAGAGCATGAGAACAAGGCAAGGATATATGGTGAAGAGTGGCTTTTCTCCTGCCTCTGAATACTGTCCTAATTTCTAGAAATTTGTAGCATAGTATTTTGAGCTAGAAAGGGTATTTTGCTAATTTTGGATTGATTTTTCTTGTTCTTTGATTTGATCTTTTTGTTGTGAACTTATCTACCAGAAAACATTTCACCATATTCTGTTGGAGGACATTATATTAATTTCCTAGTATTTGATGGTTTAATTATCCAAGAATTGCCTTCATTTTTATGCATCAGCAAACTTTCAGTCAAAATTGAGAAGCTTTACACTATGTTATGTTACTGTGCTTTAATTCTTTTTTTTCTCCTTGTTATTAAGAATTAAGAATTTTGTCTGAGAAGAGAGAAGGCTCTGTTTCTATGGTCACTCATATGTGCAGTTATACTTTTCAACATTCTTGCCCAGACACATGACTAGTCAAATATGTACTTTTTAAACTGATGGAATCTTTAAGAGGAGAACTGTTGGCTCTGCAGACTTCTCAGTCAGCTGCCTTAAAGCTACTTCTTCCCTTTCTTTCAGACTAAGAGTAACGATGACCTCTTAGCGGGGATGGCTGGTGGTGGTGGAGTGACAATGACCAACGGTGTCAAGGCCAAGAAGAACACTTGTGTGTCAACAGCATCTTCAGCTCCAGGGACAGCCATGAACAGTCTGGAAAATAAACCCAAAACTATTGCAGGTAAATGGACATATGGATCCTTAAAGATGGTAGTTGGGTGGTGGCTTTTTATTTTCATGTTATGTATCGAGGATGCAGGCTGCCTAATGAAGTGGTCAGTAATGCCATGGTCAGATCACACACCTTCTGCACTCTTTTCCTATTTTTAATAGTGTAATTGCTTTTCTGGAGGGTGTTTCTTTTAGTTTTTCAGAACTGATTATGCAACTACTATATAAAACTAGATAATGTAATTCATTTAGAGAATCATAGATTTGTCTGAAAAAAATCCATGGCATAAGCACTGAATCTTTAAGATCACTTGTTACAGCGAACATTTTGGACATTTGATATTGCTTTGTAGAAATAAAGGAAGAGAGCTTTCAGAAATGGTTCAGAAAAGTGAAATCATTTAGTGTGTTATCAGTATGGATGGAAATATGTCTTGCCTTCTGTTGCTCTGTGTTGGATTCAGAAATGCTGAATTCAGTAAAGCTGTAAAGCATCTGGACATAAAGTAGTAATGATCTGTCCTCATCTTTATGCAATGAGGAAATACAAAAAACCTTAACTTTCATTTTGGGGAATCATAACATGCAATTCATCTCTTAAAAGCTTTCATTCCGATCTAGTGAAAAGAGAGACAATTTGAACTCATAGGAATAGCACTGCTGCAGTTTTTGCACAATTTATCAGAAGCTTTTCAAGACCGAAAAAAGAAACTTAAAGATATTAAACTTCAAGGTCTACCTCATTTTCAGTTAAAATCTAACTGCACTGGTTCATGCTGAATGCTGTGTGCATGTTTACTGTAGATGTGTTCTGTGAAATGTATTTACTACTGAGATTCCAAAAACAAACCACTATATTGCTGGTAGAAAACACACAGTGCTCTATGACAGGTACTGTGTTTTGAATTCACGTTCCTCACTTTCAAAACACGTGCAGGTACCAGTTCCACAGCGAAGCGCAGCACCTCGTCTGGGAATAAAGAGTCAAGCTCTTCCAGAGAGAGAATCCGCGATCGTTCCCGTTTGAGCCAGAGCAAAAAGCTGCCTTTGGCGGGACAGGGCGCCAACGACGCGGTCCTGGCCAAGCGCTCCCGCAGCCGCACCAACCCCGAGTCGGACATTCGCATGAGCAAGTCCAAGTCAGACAATCAAATCAGCGACAAAGCTGCGTTGGAAGCGAAGGTGAACGATCTCCTGACGTTGGCGAAAACTAAAGATGTGGAAATCTTGCATCTGAGAAATGAACTAAGGGATATGCGGGCTCAGCTGGGACTCAACGAAGATCAGCTTGAAGGTGATGAAAAATCGGAAGAAAAAGAGGCCATTGTTGTCCATCAGCCGACTGATGTAGAGTCTACATTGCTGCAGTTACAGGAACAGAACACCGCCATCCGAGAAGAGCTCAACCAGCTGAAGAATGAGAATCGAATGTTAAAAGACAGACTGAATGCACTGGGCTTTTCTTTGGAGCAAAGGCTGGACAACTCTGAAAAACTGTTTGGCTATCAGTCTTTGAGTCCAGAGATTACGGCTGGCAACCACAGCGATGGTGGTGGCACTCTGACATCTTCAGTGGAAGGTTCTGCTCCTGGGTCAATGGAAGACTTGTTAAGTCAGGATGAAAATACTCTGATGGACAACCAACACAGTAATTCCATGGATAATTTAGACAGCGAGTGCAGTGAAGTTTATCAGCCACTGACATCAAGTGATGATGCTTTAGATGCTCCATCGTCTTCAGAGTCTGAAGGAGTACCAAGTATAGAAAGATCTAGGAAGGGAAGCAGTGGCAATGCGAGTGAAGTGTCCGTAGCTTGTCTCACGGAACGGATACATCAGATGGAAGAGAACCAACACAGTACGGCTGAAGAGCTCCAAGCCACACTTCAAGAGCTTGCTGATTTGCAACAAATAACACAAGAGCTCAACAGTGAGAATGAAAGACTCGGAGAGGAAAAAGTAATCCTTATGGAATCTTTGTGCCAGCAGAGTGACAAGTTAGAACACTTCAGCCGTCAGATCGAGTATTTCCGGTCCCTTTTAGACGAGCACCACATCTCGTACGTGATCGATGAGGACATGAAAAGCGGTCGCTACATGGAGCTGGAGCAACGTTACATGGACCTGGCAGAGAACGCCCGGTTCGAGCGAGAGCAGCTGCTGGGTGTCCAGCAGCACTTGAGCAACACTTTGAAGATGGCAGAACAAGACAACAAGGAGGCCCAAGAGATGATAGGGGCGTTGAAGGAACGAAATCACCACATGGAACGGATTATTGAGTCAGAGCAGAAAAGCAAAACAGCGCTGGCGTCTACCTTGGAGGAGTACAAAACCACAGTGGCCAGTGACCAGATCGAGATGAACAGGCTGAAGGCTCAGTTAGAGCACGAAAAGCAGAAAGTGGCCGAGTTGTATTCAATACACAACTCTGGAGATAAATCAGACATTCAGGATCTGCTGGAGAGTGTCAGGCTGGATAAAGAGAAAGCAGAGAGCTTGGCCAGTGGTCTGCAGGAAGAGCTGGCACACACCCGCAACGACGCCAATCGACTGCAAGACGCCATTGCCAAGGTAGTGTTTGAAACACTGTTGTGTTCTAACATCCCATGTACAACCTGGCTTATTATTGACCACTGTAGCTCTTTGAGAAGGATTAATTACGAGGTTAACTGGATCGCAGTACTGTTAGGACTGATTACTTTCAACTTCTGTCATGAAAATGATGGCGGCTTTTAAAAAATTTTATATGGATAGATTGGGCTACAGGGTAGCTGTTGTGTTACTTTTTAAAAATAGGATGGCCAAACTTAAACAGTATTTAAGATACTGTACTAACTTAGTGCTTAAATTGCATGCCTTCTGCAAGGGTTTCAAGGAATTAGTGCCAAACTGGTGGGAGAGGGATGTCCCTGAGAAAGGACTGGGAATCAAAGTTTGAAGTGATAACCCAACTGTTGATGACTTAAAGGACCTTTCACAGGTATTGAGAGAATATTTTGAAGCTTCAGCATATTCAAGTTGGTTCAGTTAATTGAGAATAAATTATTGATAAATAAAGCAGAAAAGTGTCTTCTTTCTCAAGAAAATAATTTTGAGGTAGACAGAGATTTTACTTAATTTAATTTAATTTAATTTCCTGATACATATTTTAGTTTTAAATGAAAAAAAGAGATCAAAACATATTGATAAGCTTTTAAGCAATTATTATTAGATATGGCAAATACATGCAGGTTTTTTACTAATGATCCATTCAGGAGCAGCTTATGTGCTGAGTGGGTTTTGGATTGAAATGCATATTTCTAGTTCTAGACCAGCTGTTTTGACTCAAATATAACTAGTTTATGCAGTAGGCATGTCTAGTAAAAGCTATAATTTAATATAAAACCAAGAATCATAACATTCATTTAATAATGTAAAGTATGCATTTAAAGGTATATCTTCCTGATGAGACAATTTATTCCAATTAATGTCTGAACTGTGTATTAGCTGCAAAACAACATGCTAGTCATGATCACGAGCCAGTCAGAATCAACCTTAACTTAGGATGAAAACATAATAAAATAATTTTAATAATTAAAGTTGGAGAGTGCTATTAAAATAAAAACCACTGAAATGGGTGATTTAGAAGCAGGGAATTTTGTCTATTAAACTTGGTGCCTGCCTGTGCTGACCCACCTAAGCCACGACCTAATTTCTCTTTGTTTTTCTGACACCCTGTTTTTGCTCTTGGGTTAATGTTCCTGTGCCTCTGATCCCAGCTTGTTACTTATGTTACAGTTTTATGAGGCAGGATAAAATAGCCTCTCCCCCTGCTCCTGAAAGAGAGAAGGCAACTGCCTCTTCCCTTCTCTTTTTTTTTTTTAATTTCAGTTCACATAGTTTGTAATGCTGAGAATGCTTCACCTCACTAACACATCTCACACACAGATGTGAAACCTGCTACTTGGTTAAGGGAATCCATTGTCACACAGGTCCAGCCAGCACTAAACTTGATGAGCAGAAGAGAGCAGGCTTTTTCTTTTTTGGCAAGAGAAAGAAAGGATGAAGAGTTTCCCCCCCCCACCCCATCCCTTTTCCATGACAGCTCCATGTTAAATTGGATCAGCTGCTGTGAAACCACAGCCTGGCTACGATGGTGGTGTTGCTTCACTTGTACACAGGGCACTGCTGTTGGAGCAGCTGGGGAATGCTCACATATCCAGCTGGGGAATAAAAGAGTTTAACTCTGGCTCAGGAAGATAGTTGCACTAGAACAATGCATAGGTTAAGGCTTGCACTTCTCCCCTACCTTTCTGTTTTCAGAAATGCACTGTAAGTGTGGCAGTTACAAACCTAAAAGTGTGTTTAGTATGCAACTATTTTAGTTATGGTAAGATACGTTCTTCTTCAGGTTGAAGATGAATACAGAGTGTTCCAAGAAGAAGCCAAAAAACAAATTGAGGATCTCAATGTGACTCTGGAAAAAGTTCGGACAGAACTGGACGAGAAAGAGACTGAGAGAAGTGACATGAAAGAAACTATCTTTGAGTTGGAGGATGAAGTGGAGCAGCATCGTGCTGTGAAGCTTCATGACAATCTCATCATATCTGATTTGGAGAGTAAGTATGGGGAGTTTCTCTTGAGAGGAATGATAATTTAAGAAAAGCTGAAGTGGAACACTGTAATATTGAAAATATTTTCACTTGTCTTTTGAATGTCTGAATTCAAGTCAGGCTGGGTTTTGCAAGAATCCTTACACACTAGGGGAAAAAATCAAGTTGGCTTTGCTTTTCCAGTCCCAGCTGGTGTGGGAATGAAAACCTGTGAATTGAGAACAAATATGAAATCTGGTAATACTGTTTTCAAGTTGTTTTTCAAAGTAGAAAACCAGGTAATTACAGACTTAATGATAGGGTGCTCCTGGGTTTTGGAGACTGCATGATTGATTTAGTGTTTTACTGTTGTTTTTTAAGCAGGTTTTCTCTTTCAAGTTTCCAAGTATTAGGAGCTACCAGGTAGCTTGAGAATGTGTATAATAATAATTTCTCCCAGCTAAAGAAAGGTGCTTTTAGTGGGGAAATGAGAGAATGGAGGCCCTGGAAGTTACAAGTGTCAGCTGACTTGGCAGTGTGGGTGTATTGGAGATGTGTATATCTCCTTCTGTGTGCACTTGCTCAGGTTATGGAACTGATCTGTGGCCCTAAAAATTGATATGACGAACTTCAGGCAAGTTAGAATAAAATTTCATCTCTTGACTCTTGCTGCTGTACAAGAAATGGTTGGGACTTAAAATGAAATTCGTGTTTACTCTGTACTTGTCTAGCTCTCTGTGCCTTAGTTCCCTCTCTGATCTCGAAGACCTGCTCAGACATTCCTACCACAGGCTGGAATTCTGCAATTAGTCTCCATCTAAATAAGAACTTGTGCAACTGTACCCTGGCAAGCTGTATTTGCACAGTAATAATTTGTAATTTGCTGCTTACAGAATTCAAATATCTGCTAGTCTTCCATGTTATTCAAAGATGAAACAAGATAGCAAGAAACCCAAAGCATGATTCCTTTTAACAATGAGGGAAATATTCATAGAAAGGGTTTTAAATTGGTCTGCTATCAAGTAAAATTAAGCAAGCTAAATTGTTCATTCAACTGAAGCTGGTATCTTCAGACTTGTGGCTGTGAGCACTGTTTCCCTAAGCAACCCTTCTTTTATCTTGAAAGGCAATCACAGTTTCTCTTTACAAGATTGTTTTTTTATTATGCATTTTTCTTTCTCTTTCTATGCTAAAATATAGATATTTACTTGGGAGCAGGAGCTCAGACACATAGTCAGCAGCTCTTTCTTGGTTCCTGAAGTTGTTTTGTAGCAAACAGTCAAAAAGGTTGAACACTTTTTTCTACTGGTATTTTTTTATCCTTTAACTGAAATACATTCATACAGGGAGCAGCACTGTAGTCAAGTAGATGTTTAGGTATCTGCATATTAATACCCACTTAGAAGGCAGCTTTAGGTTTTAGAGACTTTTGCTTTGGGGATACAAAACAGCTGTTAGTTATTTCACTTAAAACGGCAAAAATTCAGGGAGACAAACCTCTGCCGGGGCAGAGATTTTCAACAAAAATCGCAACAGTATTTGTCATTCGTTGCTCTTGAAATAGTTCGGAAAATTCAGCTGTACCAGCTGATGGCCCGGTGTGATCCTTTCGGGGGAAGCAAGCCGTGTTTTGTTATATGCAGGAAGGAGAGTGGCATCTAGTGGCAGCACGAAGGGATGGCACCCGAGGAATTGTGTACGTTTGAAAAATATGTATTTTCTGGCCACTTTAAAACGCTGTTTGTGGGTTCACAATTTAACACGATGTGAGCGTTTTTTCATTGTAGCCTCTAAGCAGTGGCAGCAAAGAACAACAGTATGGAAAATCTGGGACTTGGAGGTAGTACATCTAACACACAGAAAAACACTTAAAACATTTAAAAGACAGAATTCTAATAATTTGTATTAAAGTGACAGAAAAGCATATCTTGGTAGCAGTAAGTTTTCTTACGCTGCTCAGACTTTTGGCCAGTTGTGGTGTTCTGTCAGCCAGATGTATAATGCCTCTGCTTTTAAATGTGGAGAATTTAGTGTAGGTTTAGGTATTATAAAACAGTAGCTAGAAGAATGTTGGTTTTTTCAGCCTAAATAACCAACTGTAATAGTAAAAGCATAAAGGTTTTCTTTAGTGAACTTTTATTTTAGATTTTAATTTGTGAAGAATTATAACCCACTCTTTAAGGAGGCAATTTGCCTAATGGCAAAGTTACTGAGTGAAGGAAAGTGATGGCAAGACAACTGAAAAATGACAAGTGGTAAGTGATGGAGAATTATCACTTAAAGAATTCATGAAAGACAGACTTTACACTTAGGAAAAAGATGCTTCACAGATGAGGTGGTGAGTGTTCATTCAATTAATGGTTAACCAACACAAATAGTAATGAAGGAATGGGAAATTCTCCAGCACTGGCACTTAGGGAATGCTTCACTGTGGACTTCTCAAACACCAAAAAGAGGCACAATGAACCTGGAATGAAACATTTTTCACAGTAGTCTGAGTATTGATCTGTCACATTTTAGCTGTCGATATGTCTGCCTGCAGAAACTGGAATCTCTTGGATTTGGACAGTAGGATGCAAATTGCATTGATTAAAACCAGTGTGTTCCTGACATCCATCCAGATGTGGGAACTGCAGAATGTGGCAGCTGAGCTCGTTACTGTTGGGAATTGGGAGTTTTAAGCACAGTGCTTCTGTATTGTATCTAAAAAGCCTAAGAAATATTAAAATAACCTGTATGTTTTATATCCTCACCACTGAACTGAGCTGAAACAACCTGCACTGGTGTGGAGGTGGGGGACTGGGAGGGACTGGGCAGCTGGCAGGAGGTGGGGAGGGCAGACACTGCACTAGATGGCGTGGTACCTCTGGCTTTCTTTCTGCCTTCCCAAAAACTTTCCTGTAGTCAGGTAGCCCAGCTGTCACATTAGTCATCCTTGGTGACTAAGGGGGAAAAAGAAACCTATTATTCTTCCAAGAAGTTAATAAGAGTTTGTGGGGGATTTTTTTTTTCTCAGAAAACTTTGTCTCCTGATGTGCAGAAAATGGGTATTGGTAGGTTTGCTTACCAGTTGTCAGATCTTCTTCTGATGCCTGAAAATAATCGTTGCCTGTTCTCTCGGCACAAGGTACATCTGCTGAGCGTGTAGGTTCTCCTAGTTGAACTATTTAAGTCAGTAAATTTTTAGGACAAGGGTAGGTGAGCGAGAAGGTTGATGTATCTGAAGTTCTGTGAATAAATAGTTCTTTTATGGAGCTGACAGCATTAGTTTTTAATTCTCATTTGAAAAGGATCTTGACAGCAGTTATGAAATGAAACGTTTGCATTACCATATTTAGGCCATTTCTAACATAGTGTTGGAAAAGTCAACTGGACATTCATTTTTTAATTGTGTCATGGGTTGAGACAAATTGTTAGTTGGTGGAGTTTTTTTGGCTAATGGCAGACCCTTAAATTCAGCTTTCTTGTTGCATTGATCTATTGTCTGACATGATGAGCTCAAAAGTGAGATTGGTCTACAAATCTTAGCCATTTGTAGTCTGCATGTCCCTTAATTTTATTTTTCTGCCTTCTAGGTAGAGGCAAGGCCTTCTCCAACTGTGGTTTAAATCAATATTGTTTTGTAAAATGTAGATGTAATTGGCTCCTGCAGTAAACACAAGCAGTTTGCTGATTTGCCAGTTTTGATTATCCTGTTCATTCATCAGAACAGTCTCCTTGTTCTTTATTTACCCCAACCTGTAGTTACTTTTCCTTTTATCTCCATCCTCTTTCTTGTCTATGATCCTTAAAAGGAGGAGACTGGATAATGGTAGAAGTACCTGTCCTACCATGCTGAAAATTTGGGCATGTGGAGGTGGGAAAGGTTTGTGTTTGTTAGAGAATTATGGAGGTTGTGGGGATGCAGAAAGGAAAGATTCCACAGTGCATCTTCTTCTTATTTTGACTACTTGGATTTTCAGGCTATAATTGGTGGAAAAGGTGAAATCACTTGTATTAATCCTAATTTCTCACTACATTTCAAATTCAGTTGCAATTTGGTGTGTTTTTCTTTTTTAAAAAATCTCTTTGGTTGACTGAGGTGGAAGACTGTTTCCAACAACTGCTGTGGAGTGCTCTGTATTGTTTATGGTACCTGCAGAATATTCAGGCCATTGTGTTTTACTTCAAAGCATAAATACATTAAAACTTAATGGTGTGTTTCATATCTCACAAAAGCTCAAAACAATGGCACTACATAAGCCTTAACTCTGGGTGCATTTATAGTTTCTGGTTTGTGGTTATTTTTAGACAGCTTGCTTTTAGTAGTAGAACAAATTTTGATTTTAAAAACGCTTTTTCTTTGAACTTTTTTTTAAAAGTCAAAATTAACATCGACTTGATTTTGTTTCAAAATGTGTTTAAAGGAAAAGGCAGGGAGAGCAACCTTTATAACTTTGACCTAAACCTGCTCTCTCAGTGCTGACTTTAGCTCAAACAAGTTGTGTATACAGAG